GCGGGAGCTGTAGTCCCTTCGCCCGGCGCCCCGCTCTGCGCCACCCCAGGCCCACCCCTCGCTGCGGCAGTGCAGACCCGGAGGGAGGCGTGTGCCTAAACTCACCTCCGAACCCACCTCGCCCGTCATGATGCCCGTGTCCCCGGCGCTCTGCTCCCGGCGAAGATGTCCCGGGACCACTCTGACTAAGGGGAGCTACTCCCGCAGTCTCCAGCTAGGCGGGCAGCGAAGTTCTAGCTTTCGCGCCCAGCCGCAGGGGAGACTCCACCTTCTATGATTTGCACCAATCCAAAGGAGACTTTCCAAGTGAGGCCCCGCCCTCACGCGCCCCACCAATCACAAAGCTCCTCCGTCTGGCGCACCTAATACTCCTTGGGTTGGTTTGGCGGGTCGGGATAAGTCTTGTCAACCGAGACTTGGGGAATATTGGAGGTTCCTTTGACATTTGATCCTTGCCATAGTTTGCTTGGACCAAGCGCAGTTTAAGGAATGAGTACTCGATCCAGGCTGAATGACCTGGGTATAGTCCCAGGCACCGGGGCCTTCTTCCGGGGCCCCATGGAAATGATCTCCACCCACTACACTCTGAGCAGCAAGAGCCTGTCTACCTCTTTTTGTACATAATACTCGCCACTAAATATAAAAAAGAAAAAAGAAAGTTTTGCAGGTTGCTCAGGTACCAAAGAATGTCCTTGGATAATCCTTATACACAGTATATTTGGGATTAATTTGAGGATACAGGAAGTATTCACTAAAATAAGAGCTTTGGGGTAAGATTTTGCCTAGACCATTCTAATCCCAGTTTTACCCCCACCCCGTCTCTCTGGGGCAAATCTCCGTCCTCTGATTTCCCTAGTCTGTACCCAGGCAAGGCTGACCTCTTTGGACTTTATTACCCCAGCTCCCTTACCCTCTGGCTTGTTGGGTCAGGGAACTGCAAGGCACTTTTCAAGGTTTATTGTAAGGAAGCAGTCAGAGAACACCAGGAAAGAGGTCAGATTATTTGCTCCCCCACTTTATCCCCTATGATCATATCCACCGATAGGGCGGCCAACTGGGCCCCAGGACTTCTCCAATTTTAGCCCTGAAAGTCCTATACCCTGGGAGCCCCTTTAATCATAGGCATACTGGGATGGTTGGTGACCCTATCCATTGGCCTCCTCTTCCAAGTTTCCAGCTTTAGCTGAGTTCAGATAAAACATCCTCCACTCACCTTTATCTCTTCACTTTCTCCCTGCCTCTCAACCCACGTCTGCCCCCACCATGATCCCATCATTAGGGGATCTTGGCAAGGGATGTAGCTCAGTGACAGAGCATTTGCCTAGCATACATGAGGCCCTTGGATTCAATCTCCAGGACTGCAAAAAAATAAAATAAAATAGCATTTAAATAAAAAACCCCCCCCCCCAAAAAAAAAACCATCCTTCTATCTTAGTCTAGCCACCTTTGCATCCAGTTTACTATTAATTTCTACACTGGTGATCCCCAAATACATATTAGTAGTGGCCTTCATTTGGAGGACCAACATTTATTAGATACTTTGTGACAGAAATGGTTGCCAGAATTTTATAATTATTATCTTATCTAATTTTCAGAGTAAGCTTATAAGGTTAATAGTATGGTTGTTTCCATTTTAGCAGATGAGAAAACCAGATTTTTAAAGATTAGTAAATCTTTAAATGGTGGAGCCCCTTTTCAAACTCTGTTTTACAGGACTTCTGTGCTCTTTCCCCTTAGGATTTCTCTGACAACACTTAGCTCTGCTTAAAAATAAAGTTTTATCTATTTGTTTTATCTATTTTATCTATTTGTCTAAAGACAGGATCTTTGGCTTTTTTTACTACTATATCTTCATTATCTAGATGCTCTCCAACATGAGCATGCATCAGTATGATCTGAAATTTGCCATCTTAACCACTTATTTTATTTTATTTTTGGAACTGGAAATTAGACCTGGGCCTTATATGTGCTAGAAAAGTGTCCTCTCGCTAAGCTACATCCCCACCCCTTATTTATTTAGGTTTTTGGGCTTTTTGAGGCAGGGTCACACTAAGTAGCTCAGGCTGGCCTTGAACCTGAGATCCTCTGCCTCAATCTCCCAAGTAACCAGGGTTATAAACATGTGCCAACATACCTGGCTGGAAGTCCTTAATTCTACATATTAACTTGTGCCAAGCTAGGATGAGTCTGTGCTTGGAATTAGTATTCTCAATTTTGGTGAATGCCAACATAATGCCTCACTCACCACCACAGAAACCTGAATGTTACCCTTGGCTCCTCAGTCTCATGCCCCTCAAGATTAGTCGCATAAGCCCGGTTTATGAAGCGGACACATGATAACAAGGGAGAGAGCTACAGCATCCACTCTGCAAGATTATGCTGGCTTCTTATTTGTTTTTCCAGTACAAGGGATAGAACTCAGGGTCTTCCACTTGCCAGATTGGTTGGTACCACTGAGCTACAACCCCAGCCCTGTGAAAGTATCTTGATCTGTCCCATAGATGGCTGTGTGAATTCCAGTGGGCCATTTAGTTCCTCAGAGCCTTGTTTTCCTTCTTTGCAACTAGGAAACTTTGGATCGACCATGATTTTCAAATGGCTTTGAGTTGGGGATGTAGCTCAGCAGAAGTGTGCTGTCTACCATGCTCAGGGCCTTGGGTTTAATCACTGGCAGCACCAAAAAAATAGAAAGAAGAAAAGAAAGTTAAATGGGTTTAATTTACCAAGTAACTGGAAGTATAGTAGTACTTCACACAGAATTCTTTGCAATACTGACCCTCTTAATCTGGCCATATAAATTAAAAGTTGTTTTCACTAATAGGGCACAAATTCAGTATTTAAAATCAATTCTGCAATTACATGTCCATGAAAAGATAAATCATGGAACCTAACATGCTCAGCTCACTCCTTTGTGCTCTGTTTACATTTACTCTTGGGCAGAAAAACTGAAGCAGATACAAAAGCTTAAGAAAGTTTAGAGAAGCCTGTCATACGTCACTGGCTATAACCCAAGCAACAAGGCAGGAGGCTTGTGAGTTAGAGGCCAGCCTAGGCTCCGTGGTGAGATGCTATCTCCAAAAGCAAATTTCCTCTACTTCTCTTTCTGAAAATTGAGAACGCCTACCATGTTACATTTTTACTACTACTATTTCTCTGGAGTAAAGTTTGATAACTTCTTGCCTTTGTGAATGTCCTGGACCGCTATATCTTCATCTCCGGGGAAGCACTGCCACCAGGTGGCCAGTCTTGGTGAAGTCCGCCCATCTATTACCTGTAGCCACTCGCTAAACCTTTTGGGGGCATGGATGTGGGGATCATTTTAAGATTACCCAGAGGGCTTTTGTTGTTGTTGTTGTTTTGGTTGTTGCTGTTTGGTACAAGGGATCGAACTCTGGACCTTGTGCTTGCGAGGCAGGCCAAGCGCCACTGAGCTAAATCCCTGGCCCCTACTCAGTTATTTAAACTTTCCTTGGATGTAGTAAACTAGTCACATTTCCCAGAATCTTATTTCCTATTTTAATCCCAAGTGGGGACTGTCCTACTTGGAGGTCAGGGATTTCTTTTTCTTAATGTAGTACCTTTCTGGTGAATCGAACCAAAGACCTTCACACTGAGTTATATCCCCAGACCACTTTTTATTTTTTATTTTGAGACAGCATCTCACTAAGTCACTAAATTGCACAGACTGGGCTCAAACTTGCCATCTTCATGCCTCAGCCTCCCAGAGTGCTGGGATTACAGGCATGTGTCAGCACACTCAGCCATGCTTCTTGATCTTTAAAAATAGCACAGGACCTGATATTTAGAAGGTGCTTAATAAATAAAATACCATGGCCAACAAACAAGCAAAAATACCAGGGTCTTTCCACAAGGTATCAGAGCACACAGATCATCAGCTACCTGTGTGCTGAAGCTCCATTTATTGGGAACAATCGAAGAGGAAGAGATGACAATCATACATATATATACATATATATATGTATATATATGCACTAAATACTAACCCCTAACTATACAAAAAATATTAAGGGACACAAAAAAAACAAATAAGCACTAATACAACTGTACGGGGGACCTAAATACCCAACTGTCACAAATAGGTCATCTAGACAAAAAAATCAACAATGAAATACTAGGACTGAAGAAGCTTTTGAACAAATAGATTTAAAAGACATTTACAGAGTATTCTACCCCCTCAAAATAAGGATATACATTCTTCTCAGCTGCACATGGGTCCTCCTCCAAAATAGACCAATTACTAGTCATAGAACATGTTTAAATAAATGCAAAGGAATTGAAGTTATCCCATGTATATTATCAGACCATTGTGCAATTACACTGGAGATCAATAGCATAAGAAACCACAAGAGGAGGGGGTGAAGGGAGGGCAGGGACAAGGGGAAAAAAATGAGAACCAATACCTGTCACTTAAAGGTACAAGATCTTAATAATGAATGTAACTGTACTGTATGCCTAAAATGTACCAATAAACTCAATGAAGAAAAAAAAAAGAAACCACAAGAACTTCACAAACACATGAAAATTGAACAACATTCTCCTGAACAATCAATGGGTCACAGAGGAAAATAAAGAAGAATTTAGACAGTTTATATAAATAAATGATAATGCCAATACAACAAGGAATATATGGGACACAATGAAAGCAATTCTACAAGGGAAATTCATAGCACGGCATGCCCACACTAGAAAAACAAAGTGAACTCAAACAAATAACTTAATGCTGAATCTTAAGCTCCTAGAAAAAGAAGAGCAAGACAAACCCAAAGCTCATACAAGGGAGGAGATTATAAAGATCAGAGCAGAAATCAATGCAACGGAGACTAAGAGAATGATACAAAAAGAAATCAATGAATTGAAGAGTTGGTTCTTTGAAAGAATAAATAAATAAACTCTTAGCCAACCATGTCAAAAAAAAAGAAAAGAAAAGGCTGAAATCCATGCAATTAAGATTGAAAAAGGTGAAGTCACAACAGATCCAGCAGAAATCCAGAGAATCATCAATACCTACTTTGAGAACCTGTACTCTAATAAAATGGAAAACACAGAAGAAATGGGCAGATTTCTAGATACATATGAATTACCAAAGTTGAACAAAGAAGATAAAAAAATTCTAAACACCCAAGTTAAAATCAGCGAAATTGAAAGTATAATTAAAAATTTACCCACAAAGAAAAGCCCAGGTTCTGATGGCTTCACTGCCGAATTCTACGAAACATTTAGACAAGAACTATTGCCACTACTCTTTTCAATGAAAT